TGGCGCAGGATAGAGCAGGGTTTAGGGCTGTTGTGTATAGGGTCGCTATGAGTCGGAAACGACTCGACGGCACATAACAACAACAACAACATTTTATTTAATGCCCCATATTTAAAATATTACCATATAAGCATGTAATCAGTATGAAACACGCTGAGGAGATGTTTTATATGTTTTCGTACTGAGTCTCTGAAACCTGGTTTGTACTTCACACTTGTAGCATATCTAACTACTTACCATCTGCATGTGGCCAATGTATAACCAATCATATTTGATAGTGGACACCTGTAAAAAGAATACAGGCTGCATTAGGATGACCATGCCTGATCTCCACTCACCTGGCAAAGTAGAAATATCTGCATTCATAACATCAATCGGACAAAACCAGTTTCCATGCAGTCAGACACATATCCCCTGCTCCCACCAGCTCTGCTGAGACTTGCACGCATCTCCTTCTCTGGGCTCTCTCTGCTCTACAGTGTGTTGCAATGACCACACAGATCTCGTGGAACCATACTCTGAAACACTCTCAGTTATGGGGTTTATTCAGGAAGTTAACAGGTTACAGTTCCAGTTGACAACAGGATGCAATTCCTCAGTATCTCTCCATAAGTGTGCACACATTCCTCATAGTTTTGTTGTTTAGTACCATCAAGTCAGAAGCGACCCATAGGTGACCCTCCACTGGGTTTTCACAGACAGTAAATCTTACAGGAGGAGATTGCCCACCTTCTTCCGCGGAGCTGCTGGTGGATTTGAACTGCATGCCTATGGGATCTCAGTGCAGCTGCTTACCACTAGGACATCAGAGTTCTGTTAACAAAGATCTTTGTCCTGCTGGTAATGTCATCTCCCTCCAAGCCCTCCGGTAGTGTTGGGTGGAGGCCACTGGCTCTGACTCTGCAAGGTAGCTGTTGAGCTCTGTCTCATGTCAGTCTCTGGTTCTCTGCTAGAACTGCTGTTAACTCTTGTGTAGGTCCCAGTCAGGCTGGTACAGGAATCTCTTACTCTGAAGGACATGAACGGCATTCTCTGCATCTTCTTTTCTGATAGTGAGATCCCCAATTTCTGCCACCATACCTGCTCAATTTAAACCTTGTGGGATGCCAAAACAGACTACATACCCTGTTTGCATGCTCCTGCACAACCATGTGGTGAAAGTTGAAGACCTAGGAAAGTCATTTTGAAAAATAAGCTCACGGCAACCATGAGTTACCTCTGTACAGCAAATTCAAAGACTAGTGCTATACCACTTAGAAGAATGTTTGACCAAAAACATTTAAAACCAGGGCTGAGGGCCGCAGGTTAAAATCACCCACCTTTGACTTGGTAGCATAACTTTCTATCCACTAGGCCAACAGAGCTCTATGTTGTTCTTGTTACTGTTGTAACACAGTTTCCTACCATTCTACCCATGAGTCAAAATTTGAGACTTAATAGTTCTTTAATTAGTGGGAGCCTTTATAGTGAGTTACATTTCCCACTTTTAGTAATACCTCACATGTCTTCTCTCTTTTATGCTGAAAAAAACTTCTGAATTTATCTGGACTGACGGGCATCACATTCATTAGCCTATGTGCACATGGCCATGTTCTTTCTAGAATGAGTATCTTGCAGTAAGACATTTTAGATTTTCACTAATGCTTCTCAAGTTTGCACAGATGTTTGCACACAAAATGTCATCAAGACTGTTCAGTATCTCTGTGTTTGTTTTTCAGGCAGAAGGTACCAGACTTCAGAGAGAACTCCGGGGATATTTAGCAGCTATCAAAGGTAATGTTCATGAGCTGTTTCCTGCCCATTTTTGAGCACAAGTTAGTGTTAATTATGGAGTCATTCAGTTTCCTGGCAAGATGGATACTTGAGCACAGGTGTTCATTTTTACCCTCCCCCCCCAAATTCCCATTGAAATGATAATAAGGAAGAAACAAGCCTGCCGTTATGCTGGAAACTAGGAATAGGTGCCACCCACTTGCCAGAGCTTTCTAGGAAGGTTTGATAGAGTGGGCTTGAGACCTTGCTTGTGCAAAGCTGTACCTGGCTTACATCCTGTCGGAGAGGATGCCCAGCGGGATAGTATTTTCAGACTCACTCTTAAACCCTCTAAAAGGAGGAGCAAAGTCAGGAGGCAGAGGGACAGGTGCTGGGTTTGGCAGCAGGCATGCCTGGGTCTGCCTCTGACTTGTGTGGACCAATTGTACCTGCAGTTCTGCCAGTGGAATGGAGTGGAGAGAACTTGGCATTTGTTCCTGGCTTCATCATGAGGCCAGTGGAGGAGGGAGGACAGAATGGTGGGAGGTAGGCCCCATCTATGCCTACTCTAAATGATCTTGCTGCCTGCATTGAATCAGAACCAGTATGCCCACAGATGTACAGTAGGATAAAGCACAAGTTTTGATTTGCAGTAGTATTAGGAAAACTGGCCAAGCATTGTGAAATCCCTAGCCTCATATTTTAGCTCTCATACCAAATTTTAGTATTATGGAAATTTAAATTTATATAGATATATTTTATATAAAAGTATGAATACCTTAAAGTACGAGAATAAAATATAGAAGACTTAGTCGATAGGTATGCATTGGAACAATTTAAAAAATCAACAAAAAACCAAAATCAACAACACAAAACAAACTACGTGGCCTAATAAATATTTAAATTTTATTTAGAGTTTTTTTAAAAAAAGTCATATTTGACAACACACTTAGTGAAAGTGAAGCAAGTTGCAGAGGATTTGCTGATTTTAAAAAAGAAGGTAAAGCCCAGTACATCTCCTGATTTCTTGACCTCAGATACCAGGGGTGTTGAGTGTGGATCCAAGCAAGATGAAATAATTGATAGCTTCAGTCTTTCTCTATCATAATGTTGACTGTTGGCTCTGTGGTGAGTACCTTTGTTTTTTTGATGTTGAGATGTAATCTATACCAAAGGCTGTAGTCCTTGATTTTCTCCAGAAAGTGTTTCTTATTTTCCTCACTTTCAGCAAAGTTGTGTCATCTGCATAACACAGGCTGCTGATGAGTCTTTCCTCTAATCCTGATGCCACATTCTTCTATATGGATTTCGGCTTTGTGAATTATTTTCTCAGTGTACAAACTGAATAAGTGCAGAGAAAAGATACAACTCTGATGCATACCCTTCCTAATTTTAAACCATAAAGTATTCCCTTTCTCCAGTAGGAGTCCCAGCTCTGGTGGTGCTGTAGACTAAGGCATTTGACTGCTAACCCAAATGGTCTGTGTTTTGAACCCACAAGTCACTCTGTGAGAGAAAAATGAGGCAATGAAAAACATTTCCACAATTATTTTCATCCTTGGAGGCTCTATATAGGACCATTCTGTTCTGATATCCAGGGTCACTGTGGATTACAATCACCTTGGCAGCAATGGGTTTGATTTCTTGTTTGTTTTTGCTTCAGGGGTTGTGGATGCCTGAAACAGAAAGGATGAACATTAAAAGATTCTTCTTGAAATGCTTTCTTATTACATGATATATTAGTATAATTAGTATATATGCTGCATGGCAAAGACAATGGCAGTTCAGTGGTACAATTCTCACCTTCTATATAGGAGACCTGGCTTTGATTCTGGGCCAGCACACCTCCTTGGTAGTCACCACACATTTCTTAATGCATGTTTCTGTGTTGCTATACTGCTGAACTCTGATAGTCTAGTGGCAAAGGATCTGCATTGCCAACCAGAAGGCATGCAGTTCAAATCCACCAGCTTCTCTGCAGGAGAAAGATGGACATTCTCTTCCCCTGTTATTTAATGCCTTTGAAAATCCAGTGGAGGGGCACCTGTGTGTCGATTCCTACTTGATAGCACTCAGCAACAACATACTGCTGAAAAGGTTTTATCAGGGTTTCTGGGCTAAAGCAAATTAGGAAAAAAAGGTCTAGTGATTTAATTAGGAAAATCAAGCAAGAAAACCCCTGTGTATCACAGTGATCCTGTGTGCAGTTAGTCATGGGGTTGGCACAGGCGCAGACAGTGACTCTTGCTGTAATGCACTGCATTGCTGCAGATTGGGCCAACTCAGTGGCAGCTGAACACACCAACAACTAGAGTTATATGTAATTTATTATGTGTAAGCATGAGCCAAGTGGTACAACTGACTGTTCATTAAGCTACTTCACATCATGCCTATTTTCACACACAGTTGCTGCCATATTTGTTTTCGAAGGAAAAGATGACCCTGCCTTCTTTCCAATGAGGAAACTTCTTATTAAGTAGCTCTCTTACAAACCATAGGGAAAATCTGCCTGATTTGCAGGATTTAAGATACTGTTTTATAGTCAGATGTACAATGTTGATATTGTTGTCATATTCTATTTTAGCTGATGTTATTTTTGGCTAAAACCAGATCTTGCAGCTATTCAAGCAAAAATAACTTATGTAGCAGTTCAATCTAGGCAACAAACCTTAGAGGATAAAAAAATAGGAGGTCAAACTTTGGATACAAGAGAAAATAGAGGATTTTACCATAAATGTCTTTGGGAAAGTCTAAAAGTTTGAAGAAAGGAAAATGATCCTATCTAGTTGTTTCTGTTGTTAGGTTTTATCAAGCCAACTACTAATAGTGACCCTATGAGTACAGACTGGGCTTTTTTTGCCCTGCACTGTGGCATCCTCCTTTTCTCTGACCTGCTCAAGCCCTTTGTGAAAGTCGCTGTGTCAGTTCATCTTATGTTCCAAAAGTCAGTGAGATGAAGCTTCACCATCCTTGCCATTAAGGAGTACCTTAGTTGAACATGTTTCAAGACAAATTTGTTTATTCTTTTTACAGTCCATGATATAGTCAATCCTGTTCACCAGCACTCCAACTCAAAGGCATTCTTTTGTCTACAACACAAATACATCAGTTTTTCTTCTGTCATACTTAGTCATTGTCCAAATATCAGATGGTAGGAAGCAACTGAAAATACCATGACAATGTCAATCTTTAAACTGACATCTTTGTCAGAGTGGATTTTCCCAATGCAACATCTTTTTTGATTTCTTAACTGCTGTTACAGTGAAATTGGTAGTGCAACTAAGTAAAGTGAAACTTGACAATTTCAGTCTTTTCTCCATATATCATGATGTTGGCTATTGGTTCAGTAGTGAGGAATTTTCTTTTCTTGATGTTATGATGTATCCAATACTGAAGGCTGTAGTCTTTGATCTTCTGCAACAACTGCTTCAAGTCTTCTTCACTTTCTGCCAGCAAGGCTGTATCATCTACATAATACAGGTTGTTGTTCAGTCTTCCTCCAATCCAGATGCTTCATTCTTCTTCATATAATACAACCTCTTGAATGACTTGCTCAGCATATAGATTGAATAGGTGTGGAGAAATGATATGTGTCCGATACTCACCTTCCCTGATTTTAAACCAGGCTGTGTTCCCTTGTTCTATTTGGACAACAACTTCTTGGTTTATGTATCAGTTTCACGTGAGCACAATTAAATGTTTGGTGATTCACATTCTTCTCAATGTTAGCTGTAATTTGTTATGACTAGTCAAATGCTTTTGTATATTAAAGAAAACAAATGTAAACATCTCTCTGGTAGTTTCTACTTCAACCAAAATGAATCTGACATAACCATGATATCCCTTGTACCTTGACCTCATCTGAATTCAGCTTGAATTTATGGAAATTCCTTGTTAATACATTGTTCCAGCCACTTAACAGTAATCTTCAGCAAGACTTCTATTGCATGTGACATTAGTGATATTATTTATTTCCACATTCTTCTAGATCACCTTTGTTTTGAATGGGAACAAATGTGGATCTTTTTCGATCCCTTAGCCAGGTAGCTGGTGGCTGTCTTCTAAATTTCTTGGCTGAGACTGGTGAGCACAGACAAACTGGTTTACACCTATTTCTTGAAATAATGCTAATGGTATCACATCAATTCATGGGGTCTTATTTTTTTGCCAATGACTTCAGCACAGCTTGGACATCTTTCTTCAGTATTATTACTTTTTTTATTGTATGCTACGTTTTGAAATGATTTAATGTCTACCAGTTGTTTTTAGTGTGGTGACTATGTGTATTCCTTCCATCTTATTTTGTTGCTTCATGCATCATTCAAGGTTTTTATTATAGCATCCTTTAGTATTGCAATGTGCTGTTAGGGACATTGAAACAATTACAACTCATAGTGACCTTATAAACAACAGATTCACACCCCGTCCTATCCCAGGCCATCTTTACCATCTCTGAAATCCTTGAGCTTGATACAGCAGTCATTATGTCAGTACATATTTTTATTTTTCTTCCTTTATTATGTGTATGCCTATTGCTATGAACTGCCCCAGGAGGACTGCCTTATCTGCATCCCAGAAGTTCCGATATATTGTTTTGTAATTTTATTTTGTTTCAAGGAACTTTTTCCATTTCATTATTTCTTTTATAACCCAATCATGTTCTAACAGAGAGTTATTTAGCTTTCACATGGATGGTTTTGTAAGCTTTACCCTCCTGTGGTTAATTTCTAGTTTTATGGCATTGAGATCTGAAAAGATACTTTGTATTATTTAAATGTTTTTTTCAAATTTATTGAGGCTTGCTTTGTGTCCTAATATATGATCTCTTCTGGAGAATGTATCTTGTGCACTTGAGAAGAAAGTTAATTGAGTTTTAGTTGGGTGCAGTACCCTGAATACATTCATAAGATCAAGTTGGCTGATTGTATAGTTTAGGTATTCTGCATCTTTGCTAAGTTTCTTTTGAGTTGACCTTTGGTGATAGCAGTGTATTGAAGTCTCCTACCACTATAGTGGTACCA